ACATAATATAATATAATATAATAATATCACGTTCGTATATACGGTTTAATGTCGTGTGTTCTGTTCGAAGCGATCGACACTAATTCGATCGTCCCTTGTCGGTAGTTCGAATTCGAAATTATATTTATAAAACCAATTACGTTTCGAGGTATAGCGACCCAAACGCTCACTAAATAAGAGCGTAACGCATTCAATAGCACAAGAAGTGTGGTATTGACGCAAATTACTGATAATTTTGCGAATGTAAAAGCTTGTAAAATAAAATTTTAATTGTTATAGGTACTTAAATATTAAATGTATAAATGTAAATAATGATATAATACATAGGTTAGGTTAGGCTAGGCATGGGTATATTATACCTAGTTTTATTTATTTACATTTAATCCAAATAGGATTGGGGCCATTCAAGTTTTTCGTATTTTTATACTTTCTTCACTGATCACGCGTATCTACTGATGATATATCTATCTCTCATTCAAACACAGATTTTACTGTGCAGCAGTTAAGTTGATGCAGGTTTAAAAATAAATAATACACAGTGCTCGAATTGGGGGGGGGTCACAGGGGGACAGAGCTCCCCAACTATTTTTATTTTTTTTCGTCCCTCTTCTATTTTTTTTTACTTGGACGGGGTTACGGTGCAAACCAAAATCCGAAATAATTTTTATTTTAATTTGGATTTCAATTGATGTCAATTATACAACAAGTTTTACTATTTTTCATATCAAAATTATTTTTGATATTAGTTTATTAATTAATTATAATATCACCCTGTGTTTTGCCTATATAGTCAGTAGTTCACAGATCATAGATCATAATATACAAGTATACTATCTAAGGCACAGATATTGGTGTGGGCTAGTACTATCTTAAATTGTGTTCCAAATGAAATGTTATCAGTTTCAGTTATGGTTATCATTTATCAGTGTTTTTGAATTTTTAAATTTTTTTATACTTATCAAAATATGTGGTCCTTTTGAATCGAAAACAATAATTATTAATTTTGTTATCTATTTAGTAATTATTGAATAAACAGGTTGATTATTATTATTATTTTTTCTACTGTAACAATGTAAGATATGTAGATATTGCTATCAAAATATATTATACCTATTTGGAATTCAAAATGTGTTGTCGAAAAGTGGCATTCAAAATGTTTGTAAGGTAGGATCGCAGTGGGGGAGGGGGTGTGGGGGTAAGGCCCCCTACGGGTCTATGTTGAGTAATTGCGTTTTGAAACGCAATTTTTAAATCGTTAGATTGAGCTCCACTACTTAATTTTTCCCAATTCGATCACTGATAATACATATAAGCTCAACACCATATTTTATACCTGCAATGTAGGTTATTTTTCATAACGTTTCAATTTACAGGGTATTCAGTGCATAATACATCTAAACGACTGAACTATATTGTTATTATAAATCGTTACTATTATTATTAAAGCGCGTGGCACGTGTGCCGATTCAAATTAGTATTTAGCATAATCGAATAAAATATTATTTACATGATGTACAGTAGATTAACCAAAACGAATTGGAACTAAACAAATTAGCAAAATGTATTAATGCAAAATATTGTGAGTATCGCGATGTACCTACATAATAATATTATTATACATCATTCGGCAGAGGTTTTTGATTCCATTATCCAATTGATATTGGTTTCTGTATAAATATACAATATGTATAGTATTATTATATTAATTGTATTATTTCGTTGTATTTAATAACTTCATTTATTTTAATATAATAAATTATTTTTTTAATACAATTCACATATTTGAATTACTAAATATAATAAGCAGTAAGCACAGTCTGCAATAGATTTATTATTGATAACAGTATATTATATTATTATCTACATTAGAAAAAAAACACAAGTATAATAAAAATCATAAATTATAATAATTATTCATTTGTAAACAAGAAACAATTATTATATTTTATGTATAACGATATGGTAATAACTTATATAGAACTATTTTACATTTACCGATTTAGACTTGTAAACATTAAAAAGTATTGTCACATAAATTGTAAGTTATAGCCACAGTTACATGTGTTACATACACGATGCACGGTATGATAATAATATAATAAACTGAAACACATGTTTTACTTTTGGTGAGAATATTTCGTCCTCATACGCGCGTTCAATATTATTAATACAAATATTACAGATTATATTATACATTGGCATGTGCAGTATAATATCGAGTATTTCCCGGCATGATGACGGTATAAGGACGTACATTTTGGTCGGCAGATAAACTTTTGGGAACCGATCGAAATTCTCGTGCTCGCCCTGCAGCAAGTGCAACCCAGACGGACCGTTTAAGATACTTACTGTATAGACTTGTGTTACAAACAACCTTTTCGAAACTCTCTGCAGTTTCCTCTCGTTTAAGCGTTTGGGGTAGGTATAGGCAGGTAGTTAAATATAGTATACATATAGTTCTCACCGATAAGACCACGCGCATTGATGTTTTCAACATGATTTATGAGATAAGCAAGCGAAAAAAAAAAAAGAAAAACAAATTGCCACCGAATATCAACCACGTGTCTGTGAACACAGATCGTTGTCTGTATATATACACACACACACACACACACACACACACACACACACACACACACACACGCTCGCTCGCGCGTATTTAAGTCGTATACGTTTCGGATGGAGTGATTTGGTCACGTTTTTTTCCCTTACCCGCTCTCCGCACCCTCGACCCACAAACCGGTGTATTCCGTAACTTCCTGTAAGCCGATCTCGTGACCCATCAGCCACCCGTCGCCGGGATTTGCGTCCCGAGGAAATATATATATATATTATATAATATATACGCGTGCGCGTCTTCGATAGTGGTACAGCTATATATACGCGAACTCACGACATATTATATACCTAGAAGTATATATATATATAACGGTAATAGTACTTACTTGTCGTCGATATGTTTTATCGTCGCTGGGGTTGGGCGCGCGAGAAAAACGAGACGAGCACCGCTAATAGTCGGTCGATTATACGTGTTAAAACAGCTGTTTACAACTTGTAAGCCGATAAATCACTCCGACAACGACCGGAGAAAAGCGGCAGAGTGCGTGTATGTGTGAGTTCCTTCCACTCCACCAACCCATGTCCGATCGCAGTTTGTCACAAATCATATCGTGCACTTCGGAGACTCGCGCGTTGAGAATATCATGTATAAATATATAATCATATGTGTGTGTGTGAAAGAGGAGAGAGAGAGAGAGAGATAGAGAGAGAGAGAGAGAGAGGAAACGATTCGAAGATGTAATTTACGCGGATACGAAAATAGCCTCAGTCGTTATTTGGCGAACCTAGTGGATTTCGGTACGTGACTCTAAGCCAGTTCACCCGGAGACGAGCACATAACTCAAGAGTCTAATAAAGTCTATATACGTGCGAGGGACGAGTGTGTGCTCGGTGTGTTATTCTCTTACACATAATATAGGTATTATATATACATAATTAATGTACCGACTCTACCGAACATGCATTTCGTTTGATAATTGTATCCGATAAATATTGTTACAAACGAGTACTATTATTTTACCCCGCGAGATCACAACTCAAATAACGACACAATGTTGTCATAATTACTATACCACAATAACAATCAATTAATCGATACCGTATGATGTTTTTAAATCCTGTTAGTATCCTACACTTATGTAGTATATACTTGTGTGTTAGTACTAATATGTTTTTTTTTAATTTTAGATATATTTTTATTGCTCAATCTGTTTAAATAAATGTAGAATAATAAATTACTCCGAGTTTTTGGAGTAGAAAAGACATGATTGGCAGAATGATGAAACCTCCAGGGGTTCAAAACGTTTTTATAGAGTTATGAGTATAACGTTAAACAACTCAAAAAACAATTGAAATCGATAACGGATAACATATCGGTTAACGATAAACGATTAAAACGGTTAAGGGATAACATATCGGTAAACGATAAACGATTGGAAACGGATAACGGATAACGAAACAGAAACAATCAACAATTGAAACATATAATTGCCTGAAAAACAAAATATTTATAAAATTATAATTTATAACTATCAGTAAAATATATAGTATGATAATTTTTGTAATATTATATTTTTCAATCATTCTGTTTTGTGTAGGAAACAAGCTATATCCATCAGATAATGCTAAACGCTTCATAACGTTTAAATCTTTTATAACGTTAAACAGTCATTCGAACATATATACATATAACGTCAGTCATTCGATTATAACGTTTAATATCCATATAACGGTAAACGGTATTATTATTTTTGATTTAAGCCCTGGAAACTTCCCAGTGAAACTTCGATGTATACTTATGTACATTTTTCTTTCTATAAGATCTCTGTTATCAGTTTACAATTTCCGACTCACGTAATAACAAGTTAAACTACTGTTTAAAAATGTAAATACAATTTAATGCGATTGTTATTGGATAACCAAAATGTACTACTTATGTCCTGTACAGTATATGAATATACTAGTATTTCTTTTTTAATATTAAAATATTATTATGAAATATCACAGTTCAATTATTAAACTGTATATTATTATGCAAGCTACCACATATAATGTAATTTTGTTTTTAAAAGTTAAAACGCATACCTACGACTTGTAAAATATTACTATTGATAAACATGTCATCCTTTGACATCTTTTTTTTATGAATGATGTTCGATGTCTATTAGATTAGAATATGTTGAAGTGGGCCAACAAATAAAATATACACGAGAAAAATTATCATTGCGTGTTGATAGTTGTTTCGTGTGTTATCAATAAATTGAGTGCAAAGAAACGCAAACAAATACTTCAACCGTTATTATATTATACTGCAGGAAAAAAATATATATATATATAAGCTACTGATTGTGTAACCGATATAGGTGACTGCGTTCGAAAAAATACTTCTATTTAACTTGTGTCAAATATTATATAACTGTTAGTAAAGTATAGTATAAAATATGATTCCAGTGTGGGCAGAGACGGGAGACTTCCGTGATAACAATCATCATGGCCTTTCTACGGATCATACGTCACAGCTTAACTTTGGTTCATCCAGGAGTAGAAACCGTGACAGAAAAGGTGAGTTATATGTACACGATATTATATATTAAAATATAGGCATAGGCAATCGAACCATTCGAACGAATAAACTAAAAAACGGTTTTTAAACATGTATAACTTTGTACCTTGTAGAATATTTTGTTTCGGATTCAAACAAAAAATAATAGTATATTGGTAATAATCGTATGTAAAAACCGTTTCCACTGAGATTAAAAATAATACAAAATCCATTAAAATATGAATTTTCTTACAGGCCGGGTAGACACGATCGGTGCTACCGGTATAAAAACTGAGGGTATAGACACTGGAGTTGGCGTGGTCACCGACGACGGAAAAGACGCCAATATTAAAAATAACAAAAACACAAAAAGACAGAGGAGACAGAGGACTCATTTCACTTCGCAACAGCTCCAGGAACTTGAGGCCACGTTCACCAGAAACCGGTACCCAGACATGAGCACCAGGGAAGAGATAGCCATGTGGACGAACCTCACAGAGGCCAGAGTCAGGGTGAGTACCTCAATACTGTGCTTATTTTAATATTATGTTTACCTTGGCATGGATTTTTTTTCGTCCGCCATCATTAGAAAGAAATTAGACATCATAAGATCACTGAGGGTTTTTTCACTTTCTATTTAACATCAACGTATAAATGATTATTTTTATCATCATCCGACTGGTTATTGGATTTGCACAAGGCTCAGTGCGTCAACGTTTTTGGATCCCTAACAATCCCGGGGATTGTCCTTTTTGCAGTGGCGGGGAGGCCGAGGGTATGCGGAGAATAAAATGAGTAACCGATTGACAAAAAAAAAAAAATAATAAATAAAACCCGCGGACAAAGTCACCCATTTACTGGCGGAAAGCGAGGGGATTGCTACAGGGATAATCCTTTTTGGCTTATATTAATACTGATGTACACTATGCGTTTAAATCTGGCGTGTCCGAACGTTGTCAGTTTTTCAGTCAGTGGCCTGAACGGCTGAACCCTGTTTTAGTATTCATGTCCAGAAGGCAGAGAAATGGTAGGTTATTATATACAAGGGCCAATATAGGGAGGTTTCGAGTTTTACCCTAAATGACGAATCCTTTTAGTATTTTATTTTATTTATTTTGAACAGTAGGTAATAGTCAATAGTATATAATATATAGTTACTATATAGGTATACGATTTACTATTTATTTATTCGAAATTAATCCCGATCCTTTTAAATAATATTAAAGTAAAAAGTAAAAAACATTTCCTAAATCATATTACCTACATCAACAATGTTTTAATATCTAATAGTTATAAATAGTAATAATAGTTATAAAAAATTGTGTGTTTCAATATTTCTTGTCTACTTCAGTTAAAAAATATGTTTTAAATATAATTATATTATTTACAATTTTGTTACTCAATATTTACTTAAAAAAAAATATAATAGTTTAAATTACGAACAGTATATGATTACTTATTACCTATAAGTGAATAGGAAACTATAAAAAATGACATAATATTATAGTTTGAATTTGAGTTATATACTTCTATATATAGAACTTCGTCATCATAATATAATATTGTGCTCAATAGTTTTTATAGATATAAATAAATATAGTTTATATATTATACAAACAGATAATAATTATTGTAATATCGCACTTAAATTTGTTACAACGACATTATAAAGTGCTCACTGTAATTTCACATTTTATTTCCCGTTTTAGACAATACAGTCGATCAATTTATAAATTGGATAACTACCTATAATCATAAATTCATACCTAATATTATTTATTATGGTTTGTACATTTTAAGTAAGTCTAATATCTGATCGTTTCGAGCACTATTAATAATTATCAAGTCCATACCGTCGATATATTATGGTATGGTTTATTGAACCGTGATCGGAATTTACCGATATTATATAAAACATACATACTGACTGAAATTAATCTTTAAATGCACTCGCGGTCACTGTGATAACGATGATATTATTTGCATTTTACACGGGACTTAGGTTTGAATTGTGTTCGCCACTATAGGTTTATCCTAGATTACTGGATGTAATTAGTCGGCAAAATACCGTCGATAGTCATTATTTTCACACCGAGGAAATGGACACCGGCGAGGTATTAAATAGGTATATTATACATAATATAGGTATATATACGGCCGTCCAATTATAAACGTTATGTACACATATGTACATTGAAAATCCCAGCATGACAAGAGAGGATGATGAAAATGTCTGTGACTTTGGGCTTGTGTTTTTAATTTTACAACCCTGAAAGCCCCTCCGTCCTACCCTCTTCTCGTCATTAATAAAAGCGACCAAAAGCAGAGCCAAACGTATACACAATTACGCAGTTATTCAGAATTTATCGATATTATTTGAAAAATTAGAAATTAAAATACCAACCGTTGTTGTACTACACAGCTAGTAGGTACACTCACACACTCATAAAAAACACACACACATACTGATATACGTGTGCTTATATATATCATATATGTAAAGCTCGGACGCGTTATCCCTCTGGCGTGGTGGCCGGACGACCGGGGGGTTGACAATCTGGATTTTTCGTCCGCCATTTTGTGTTCCTGGTTGATATACGGTCACCGGGTTGGACTTCAACAGAGATTATTGTTTTTATATGACCCGTATTTACGTATAAGCCCATCGAGCGGGACGCATAAATATGGCTTTTTAACACGTTTAACGAGTGCAGCCGCCGCTGAGTTTGGGTAATTAAATTTTATTTCCCCGAGCCGCATTGACGTAAGCTTTCTCGCACATTCCGCACGATCGGTGGTTTTTCGAGACCAATTTTTCACATTTTGAGAGCTTATCATAATTATTCCTAATACATTTAGTCATTATATTATCATAGACTCGCGCACAGGGTGTATAATATTATATTGACGATAATATTGTTATAATATTTCAACTAAAAATGTGGGTAGCTTATATGATCTATGATTTCATAACCTCACCTTTATGATAATATAGGCGTCTTCTCTTTCTTTATAAAACAATTAGCAGAAGGGACTTTTAAATAGGTATTAGTCGCATTAGTAAACTATTTAGTATTATGTCAATAAGTTGATCGCATTTCATTCAACGTCTAATATTATATTCAAAAGTATAGGTAATTACTCTAGACATGTACGGATAATATGGTCCGATTAATTTAAATATTAAATACATGTAAAACTATAAGTCAGCGATCGTCTGAAGAGTGTGGGCACATTGATTGGGATTTATTATAAGCTTTATAATATATCAATATTTAGGTATTATGACTTTTAAGTTGTTCTTTTTTACTATTTTTAATGGTGAAGTAGTTATTATGAATTAGAAGAAATAGATTAATTACTTAGATTTAAATAATAGTAAATATCTTAATAGTTTGGTAGTTGTTAAAATGTTTTACAAAAATAAAAACAGTTTCATAATGCTGCAGCTATTACTGGTTCTAAACAGTTTAAAAAGAATACAATTTTTATTGGACATATGGCTATATATAATAATATACACTGCAATAGACGTATACTTAATTCATACGTATCTTAAATTGCACATAGCAATATAAACAAAATTACAACTTATATGAAAATTATAATGTATAAGCATCTAGGTAATGTTTGAATCGTTAACTGGAGTCTAGAACTTACAGTATTAAATTATAATACATCATCTAAACATATTTAAATTAAATATTCAATAAAAACATGAGCTCCGTGCGTATAATTTCCTATATTAATTGTTCATTCAGTTCTTTTAAATATTTCTAAAAAAAGGTTTTAGTATACTAAAATACGGAAAGAAAATAACAAAGCTATTTAGCCGCACGCATCTGTAACTCTTTCGTATGTGTAACAAACACAAATATTGGTCGTTTTTTGACCGCGTTCTTTACAAAAAAAAAAAAGAACCAAAAATACTACTCAATAAATACTCTAATCAGTCGGTCGTTTTCAACAAAAGAGTCAACACGCCGACGACACGTAATCGTTTGTTGTTATCTGTTAAATAAGAGGGCAGATATGATGACAAATAATGGGAAGAAAAAAAAAACGTGTTCTAGTGTCGTGTTTTACAACTTGGTAAATACTAACGCGGGTATACCACTCGTCGTTTTCTATCTACAAACACACACCAGTTTCATGTACTTATCTTGTTTATACTGGTACTTGATAAAGTTATAAAATTGTTCGTAAATTTAATCATAAAAAATGTATATATATTAATATTAGGCAATATTGTTAAAAATGTGCGTGATTCTATATTTTAAATTATGATTCATTGTAATTTAGTCCAAAAGAGAGAAGAAAAAATAACAAAAACACAACAACAAAAAAACGAGTCAGGGAAGAGAATTTCCGAGTGGTTTAGTTAAATAAAAAATGAATAAAACGTTTGCGGGAAAAGAGAAGATTTATGTGATAGAAAGAACAGGCCACCTTCACTTGACGTGATTTATAACCCAAAACGCCATTTTGTTCACGTTCTGAAAAGCAAAACCGTTCATTTCAGATGGAAATTAAAAATATATAAATAAAAGCAAACCTTAGATTCGTAAATGCCACGAGTATTCACAAATAACACTATAAATAAGTTCTTAGAATTTACTGTTTGCCGGCATTACAAGAGTCACTACAAAAATACTTCCTAAATTGTATTGTTGACTGATAAATCGTGATAAACGTGTTGCATAATACCAATTTTAGAAACGAAATATTGAAAAATATGCAAATTAAATTAATAAACACATAGTATAAAATAAATCGTGAATTGTATGCTTAAAATATTTTCTGTTTAATATTTTTGTTCAAATAAGATAAATATTTTATAAAAATATCGTAACAAAATGCATACTAAAATGTATATGTGATGTGTATAATATATTATATTAGACTTATATGCAAATAAATATTTCAACCTATGATGTGATAATAATATTATATTATACATTCAATACAATATGTAATTTAATATTTTAAATATACAAAAACATAAATATATAGGGGAATATGGTATTAGGGCATGTATAATATGTATTATAATTATTAAATATAATATGACAAAATATAATCACGATTTATTCGTACGATATGATATAATATACTTGAATATTATATTCCTAATCTGTATATTATATCTACATGTATACAGTCGCCTTTGATCATAATCCATCATCATATAATACAACTAGGCGTGAATAAGAGTTCCACAATAATGATATAACACAAACAAATTAGCTCTATTGACGTTATCAATTGAAATTATGTATAGTTATCGGCATACCGAACGGGTGCGCGATCAAATATACTTGTAACGTATTTCACTCTCTGGGGAAAATAGACCGAAACAAAAACCAATAATACGGCATGGTTCTCCGCCGGGGAGATACTTGAGATGCGACGAAAGGGACACAGTGGGCAGAGGGGAATCCGCGGTGGTATGTGTGCCGCAGTAATCAAAGCACACACGGGATTACCACACGGACAGGGAGCTCGCGGATTA